TATATATATACATATATACGCACATTCATATATATATATAAATTAAAAAGTTATTAGAAGTCCAATTGACTTGGCCATTGAGAATTGAGATTAATTATATTATATGCCATTTATTATAATACATGTGTATATAATATATATGAACAAAAAAAAATATATATATATTATATTATTATTATATATATATATAAATATTTATACAGGGAAGGTGAAAGTTATGGGCTCACCGTTCAGCGGCTTTATTGTTTGCACTGCAAAAATAATCATAAATGTTTTTATTTTATGAAAAGACAAATAGATCATTCAATACGCCTAATTGATCACGTAAGTAAATTAATAAATATGTACATGTACTCATTGCATCGATAGTTCCTGAAAAATTACAAAAGTATAATACATACTCGAGATATTAGTGATATTATCTGATACTGTACAATGAGCCTTTAACTAAATCTGTCCTGTATGAGAATAGATGAATTAGAATTTTCAAGATAATTATAATCATTTAAAGAAAGATGATGGATTGCGGAGAGATAATAAAAGGGAAACGAGTTTGATTATACTAATTCATTTGTCATAAATCGAGATGATTCGACGTTTCTACGTTGACGACAATTTTTTTAACGATTATACGTTGTTTCAATGTGATTTAATATTTTATACGAGAACTAACGCCTTGGATTACCACATCAATGACATTAATTTTGAAAAAAAAAAAAAAAAAAGAGAATTGACCGAGTTTTAGAAAATAAAAAATTAAAAATTAACATTTTAAAATTTGTAACCTTTGATAGAGAAGAAGCATAAATATAGCTTGACTGATCTCCGAAGCATTTACTCGCAAAAACACCGATACGTCTGTTAAATCTACTTATAGACGAATGTTTAAAAGATAAGAATTTTATCTTACCGCTATCTAACGGCCTATACAAGCCTCAATTTCGATAGATAAGAATATGTACATTAAAAAAAAAAAAAAAAAGAGAGAAAAAGGAAAAAGATTATTCGCAAGGTGCTCTGTGTAATGAACTTATTACAACACGTTAGACATTTATTTACGCAACGCAATTTCGAATTATATTTGTGATGTGTACTAAATCGATCAACCCACTAGCATCATCAACTTTACCGTATCATAATATTATTCACGTAATCTCACGTTCTGTAAATTTCGCCAATCATTAAGAAGAAAAGGAAAAAAAAAATAGGAGATAAACGAATGAATGCATACTCGTTCAAGACGCACACGCACAAATGATGATCGAATGGCGTTTTTGTGACTGCACTTTGAAATTACGATCTTTAGATGTGTACGTTGTTTTTCAATAAATATAAAATATATTTGTGTTACCGTAAAGAGATACACATAACACACACACACACATACACAAAATAAGCAAAGCCTTAACGTTTTACCATTAGTGCTTGGATGTTCATTTATGAACGTATTTAGTAGTAAAAGGAACAAATTTACGTTAAATGAAAATAGTAAGTTTTAATAATTAAGTTTGTTAAAATTAATCAATGGATTGATATATTATATATAATATAATTTTAACTATTTAGATATTAATAAATTTAATTAATATCCATTGCTTTCATTTATTTGAATATATTCAAATAGAAAATCATTTTTTTGTGTCAAAGAATAGAAATATTCAACAATTCATATACTATTCCCGTTTAAATTATCAGGAAGCATAGATAAATAAATATTTTATTGTATATTCTAACAAAAAGAAAAAAAAAGAAACTAATAGTTAAAACGCTGGCTGGAAGCCGCTTGGGTTTTTTTTTTAAATTCGTTTTTCTTTTGTCGTAATGTTATCATATAAAATCAAGATATCGTTAATAAGATTTGTATCATTCTTCACATAAAGTTAGTATCTCTGAATTCTAGGGAAAAGATTTGTCATTCGAGTGACGTTAATTCTATCATATCCAATCAATCTTTTGAAATAAAAGAATCCGTAAAAGATTTTAAATTTCCCGCAATTTTCCAACATCAAAGATGTCTCTCAAGAGAATATTTCCTGAACGCGGCAGCTACAAGTAAGTTTATTAAGACTTTTTTTTATATGCATCTTTTTATTTATATTTTATTGCACGAGAAAGAGAATAAGATAGGAGGAGAAAGGAAAAAATAAATGAAAAAAAATACATTTTCGATTTATATCATCAGAGTATCATCGCCAAACAATTCAACGCAAATGGCTGAGATCAAGAGGACCGAACACGAGGAACCCAGTGAAGTTCAGTACGAAACAACGATGGCTACTACGTCGCTAATGCCGTCCTCTTCGTTACCGACTCTTTCATCAACACCAATGCAACAAAATCAAAATATAGGTTATGATGTAATTGATACTGCACCAACAAATGCAAGTACAACTTTTCAAAATTCACATTGGGAAAACCAAAGGAGTTATAAGAAAGTTGAATTCGATATCGACTCTGGAAGTCAATTATCGAAAGATAATAAATGCGATAAATGTCTTATTAATTGTCTTTATTATACGCATGAATGTTGTGACTGTATCATTTTATGACGATTCTTCTTTTTTATTTTTTGTTTTTTGTTTAGAAAAGAAATAATTAAAGATCTATGAGATAAGAAATTAATTTAAGAAATGCTTTAAACACACATAAAGAATGATATAGATTATATTGTATTTTCACATTATGAAATAAAAACTTTGTTATATGAAAAACATATAAAATATGTATATACTTGCATATGCTTTAAAAGTCCATTTTCATGATAAGTAACGTGAAATGTAAGTATAGATTGCTTGAGTTCTTAAATTTGCACATAAAACTAGTTACTTTTAATAGCTTTCTACTTGTTTCACTATATTACAATGATGATATTGTTTAAAATTTACAATAATTATTCATACAACAAATACTTTCTTCGCGTACTAACATAAGCAAAAGATGCTAAATTTGTCTTCTTTTTATAAGCAGATTATTCTATTCCTTCTGTACGTTCATTGGTCACTTCATCATCGCCTGATTGGTCAGTCCGCATCACGTGTACATTCTATCGGTGCTTTCCGATGGTCTTCTTTGTTTTAATGTTTCATCAATATTGCCCTAAGTAAATTAGCTATTTTAAATAGATATTCATGATAAATATATATATATAAATATTTGTAATGAAAATATATAAAAAGAAATTCAAAGATATTTTTATTGATTTTGACTATTAAATTTGATTGAAATTTGAAATTTTAATTTTTTAAATTATTTGATATATATTGCAAGTACACAATTGTCATCTAGATGTCTCATTGGTTCTTGTAACTATAAGTACATTAATAAAAAAAAGTATTGCCAACTGTGATAAATATACTTCATGTATAATCGAAATGTCGTGAGTATTGCCATAAAGCTAGAAGCGGGATATTTATCAAATTCATAATATATCGGATATATACTAAATAAATCTAATATAGTTTATCTATTAAGTGTTTAAGAATTATAGTATCTTTCGAAAAAAAGTATTAGCGCTGTTTTTAAAACTGTAATCATGTCGGACGAAAAGAAGGTAACGCTTTATAACCTTCAAAAATGTCACTGTTTACAGTGGCATAAGGTTAAGTAGTTTAATGAACAACCGCTCTTTCTTTTACAGGAGACAAAAACTGAATCAGAACATATAAATTTAAAAGTTTTAGGCCAGGACAATGCAGTAGTTCAGTTTAAAATTAAGAAGCACACACCTCTTCGAAAATTAATGAATGCTTACTGTGATCGAGTAGTAAGTTAAAAATTTTTTTATTTATAATTAATTGTGTTTTTTAGTATTATGTATATAGTTTAACGATAAAATGATATTTGTATTATCTTATAGGGCTTGGCAATAGCGGCTGTAAGATTTAGATTCGATGGACAACCTATAAATGAGTTGGACACACCGACGAGTCTTGAAATGGAAGAAGGAGATACAATAGAAGTGTATCAACAACAAACAGGAGGAACGTGTTGAGGTTAAGAATTTATTGATACACAACAGAAAAGTTTACAAACGGACTAAAAGAAAATTTATCGTTCCAGTGTATATCTTTCATAAGAGATGTTAGTGCTATCTTTTCACATGTGACCGTCTTGGTCATATGCTTCTTATTACAGTGTTCTCTAAGAGGGTACATACATTACATTACTTTTATAATATCTTTGGCATATTTTTTATTATTATTTACGTTAATGAACATTAACTAATAAACTTTGTCTATTAAATTTCAAAGTGTAAGATAAGAATTTGATTTTTTATTTAATATATGTTTTGAACATTTATTAATTTACGCAAATGTTTTATATGTTAGAACATTGAACGTATAATTGTTTAATTATTATTTGATAATATATCAAAAAGCTACTTTTTTAGGTATACATTTTAACAACGTATTGCAAAAACAAAATGTTATATACCATTATGTAAGCAGACAAGTTTTTATGAAACAGAAGTCTTTGTATATGTGAACATTTTCAGGACAATTTTCTCTACAGTGTAATAATATACGTTTTAAATAATAAATTTTTATTTGTAAATATTTTGTTTTTGTATTTAACGAGGTGTACAGGAACACAACTAAGGAATATTATTTTAATATCGAAAGTCATCGTATATTTAAGATCATTTAAACGTCCTTTGCATTTTATAATTAAATGTTTTGTCAAATTAATGTTATTTTATAAATTAACAAGAATAAACACTGTATTATCTTTTTTATAAATATTTTCATTCATTCAAATTTCTATTGCGTGTATGAACCAATGTATGTATGGATGCGTTATCTTCTAGGATTGCAAATAATATTTTAAATACTATTTTATTATAGAAGATATAAATTATCTTATCCCCTTTAAAGACTATGTTATAATATATTATAAAATTATGCGATCAAAATATTTAAATTACATATATAAATTAATAAATTTGTATAGAAAAATTTATCAAATTAAATGAAGAAAAAATAATAATTAATTCAATAATTATTTTCATATTTTAACCTTGATAGTTTACTAATATAATTCTATGTAAATATGTACAATAGATTTGAAATATAGTATCGTGTAGTAAGCATTTGTAACTGTAGATAGCGCAACTGATCTTTCTTGCATTAGTGCACGATACGCTATCATTTTCATTTCAAATCATATAATTATATATAATTATTTTACATATTATTCATTTCGTGAGTGCAAATAATATTTATTTTATTACATCGTTATTTTTGTATTTGAAAAAAAAAAACAAATTCTATTTGAGAAAATTAATGAGAGATATAAAATCTACTACCTTCTTTCACCGTATGTATTACATTCCTAATTTTCTTTCATATATTATATATAATATATGATTTTTCTCTAGATCTATAGTCTATAGTTTATTCTACAGTCACAGTTAATAAATGTGAATTTTTTGAAAATCTAGATAAATAAGACAATAGATATTGGAAAGGTAGACACATTCTTTCTATTCACATAAAGACCTATTTACGAAACGTCATATAGAATTTTTCCGGACCTACGTGGATTAATATAATGTTGATGTTCTTGTATTTAAATTAGTACATATGATATGTTTAATATTCAACAAACCATGGTAGAACCTATGCAAGTTGATGTTCCGGCAGAAGATAATGATAATGCCGAAGAAGAACCCTTTATCGTTGAAAATCCAACATTGGTATGTGCTAACAATAAAGATAACCTTAAAAATTTATTTCGAAATTTTATTATTATATTTTCGTTACAAAGATAGCCGTCATTGATACGAGATTAATTGAAAATTTAATATTTTTGATAATTTTGTATTCTAAATTTTGTTGTATAATTATTTATTTATTGATCAATAAAATTATTCAATATTGATTATGTTATATACTTATTTTCAGGATTTGGAAGTTTATGCCAACAGTTATACCGGTCTTGCCAGATTATATAGGCTCGTCTACATAGCAGATCATTGTCCTGTATTAAAAGTAGAAGCATTGAAGATGGCAATATCTTATGTGATGACTACTTATAATGTTAATCTTTATACAAATTTACATAAAAAGCTTCTCCAATGTACTAGTACACCTGGACTACCTGATATTGCTGCCCAATCAACTTCTCAAGATATGTTAACAGTAGATCAAATGTGGCTAGAATCTCGTACTAAAAAGGCTGCTTTAAAATTAGAGAAATTTGATACAGATCTCAAAAATTATAAAAGTAATTCGATTAAAGAAAGCATAAGAAGAGGTCATGATGATTTAGGAGATCATTACTTGGATTGTGGCGATCTTGTCAATGCTTTAAAATGTTATTCCAGAGCACGAGATTATTGTACCAGTGGTAAACACGTTGTTAATATGTGCTTGAATGTAATTAAGGTTTCGGTTTATTTACAAAATTGGTCACATGTACTTAGCTACGTAACCAAGGCCGAAAGTACACCAGATTTTCCAGATATTCATAGCAAAGACAGTGGTCAAACTATATTAACTAAATTAAAGGTTGCTGCTGGATTAGCTGAATTAGCTACAAGACAATATAAAATGGCTGCTAAACATTTTCTTCAGGCATCATTAGATCATTGCGACTGTCCTGATTTACTTTCACCTGGAAACGTAGCACTTTATGGAGGCCTTTGTGCATTGGCTACTTTTGATAGACACGAGTTACAAAAACAAGTTATATTCAGTAGTTCATTCAAATTATTTCTTGAACTTGAACCACAACTAAGAGATATTATTTTTAAATTTTATGAATCAAAATATGCGTCTTGTTTAAAACTACTTGATGAGATAAAGGATAATATACTTCTAGATATTTATATAGCACCACATGTAAATGTTTTATACACACAAATTCGTAATAGAGCATTGATCCAGTACTTTAGTCCATATCTAAGCGCTGATATGAGACGAATGGCAACTGCATTTAATAGAACAGTTCCCGAATTAGAAGATGAATTGATGCAACTTATTCTCGATGGACAAATTCAAGCTCGTATTGATTCTCATAACAAGGTAATTATAAGAGGTATTAATGAGAGAAACATCATCGTTTTTATCTAATTATTATTATTTTAGATTTTATATGCCAAGGATGTAGATCAACGGAGTACAACATTTGAAAAATCAGTTTATTTTGGTAAAGAATATCAGAGACGTACACGTATGTTAATTTTGAGAGCTGCTATGTTAAAGAAACAAATTCATGTAAAGGTAATTATAATCTTCTTTCTCGTGTTTATTTCTTAAGTATAATATTATTTTTATTATCTACAATACATACATACTTAATACAAAATTCATTTGTATAGAGTCCGCAACGTGATAATACGCAAGGAGGAGAAATGTCTGTTGCACCCGCAAATAGCAGTTTAGCTCAAAGAAATTAAAATACTCTATATCTGTTCAGATCCTTATTGGTTTACTTCTATATGCATATTGAATTTTTCTGGTCAGCTAAGATATAATGTAACTTGTTATAATTATATTCAATGATTTTATGCCAGTGTACCTAAATTTTCAAAATAAATAATGTATATAAATAGTATCATATTATATGCAAGATCTGGCCAAATAACATGCACATACCGGGTCTCCCAGCATATTCAACACTTGGGAAATTCTATTCATTTTAAATAGTAGAAAAGTATTATTATTAAAAATTGTTTGTTGTTAGAAGGCGAATGCCGAATACAGACATTTGTTCAAAGCCATACTTATTAAGATTTCAGATTGTCGATCTTTTTGCCGTAGTAATAAAAGTTAAAGAAGTACAAGAAATTCTTAAATGACTTTGACGTGATCTTGAGGAAAATCTGAAAATAATGGGATACGTTATTAGTGATGAATTAAATTTATTGAATATTAATAAATAAGATTCTTGAGAGGTTTGTTATTTTTGTGAAAAGATGGAATTCTTGAGTGAAGCAGAAAAAATGGTATGATTCTAATTTATGATGACATTAAAAAAAGTAGTAGAGCTTCCAAGTTTATTTGATCTTACTCCATTACATATTTTTTTGTTCAAAGCACCTAAGAACATTTTTATCAATACTATTTGTTTCTATTATTAAAAATAAGCGAGATATTCAAGGTGGTGGTTGAGTTAACTGGGACATCTGGTATATAAGCTGACATAAGATTGTGAAAAATTAAAATAAAATGTTTCTATCCGTAGCTTCGTTTTCGAAAAAAATCAAGCTTGAAACATTTGTTCAGTTTGAATTTAAAAATAATTTGTATTAAATATAATTCATTCGTTTGTATTTTTAAAGTATATACACTTGTGTTGTACTTTTTATTGTGATATATATGCGTTGAAATAATGTAGCGATAGATAATTTGATTCAAAACTAAGATATAAAATAAATATTAAAAATAATACATTTTTTAAATTTCGTATAATATAATAACTAAATCTTTGTATGAAGTATAATCAACATGTTTTGATTAGTGAAGCCAGATCGCGGAACATTTCTACCCCTTCTCTCGAGCTCAGCACGCCTCGCACACAACAAAATTTACGTATTGGTGTGTCGGAATCCGAAAGAAGCCGAGGGAAGCCGAGATAGCTGCGCGACAGAGGAGAAATAATACCCCCACCACGCGCCGCGGAGAAATACATGGACACAACACATTTGAACAATGTGTAAAACAATGTATAAAACAATGTATAAAACAATGTGTCTGTGTCCATGTATTTCTCCGCGGCGTGTGGTGGGGGTATTATTTCTTCTCTGTCGCGCAGCTATCTCGGCTTCCTTCGGCTTCTTTCGGTTTCCCGACACACCGACACGTAAATTTTGTTGTGTGCGAGGCGTGCTGGGCTCGAGAGAAGGGGTAGAAATGTTCCGCGATTTGGCTTCACTGGTTTTGATATAACCAATTAGAGAAGAGAACATTCTTCCCCTTATTTCTCACTTATCGATATCTATCGAAGTTAGAAGTATTGCATAAACCTGAAGTTGGTTAACACGTGTGAGGTTGGAGAACAAATATTAAAAATTATTGTTAAAAAAGATTCGTATAATAATTTTTAAATCATGTCAAATTTAATGGACAGTTCTCTTGACAGTACTCCTCTTGACGATGATATCAAACCAAAAAAAACTGATACCGAATTACAAGAATTTTTAACCATTCAAGAAGAGACGGCGCGATTTAATGCTCAGGTAGTTAGAATGTTAATTGCTTTATACTTTATTTATTGTTTTATTTAGTATTGAATTTTTAAATGACAATATAAATGCCAATTATATATTTATCTTTCTTATATTATTAATATTAAACATAGTGATGCTTCATGTATACCTATTTCTACCAAGATTGGTCAAATAATTCATCTTCAGAGTCATTTACAATATTTATAGCAAAAAATATAACATTTGTGCAATAAGAATTTTGGATTCAAAATAAAAAACTATAACTTGTAAAAAATTCTGCTAGAAAGTTTAAAAAAGGTTATTTGATCCATCATGGTAGTTTCACAATTAATATTTTATGTAATTAGTAATGTGCATGTTTTTTGAATGAAAACAAGGTCATATATAAGCTTGTACTAATCTCTAATGGTATTTATTTTAGATTCATGAGTTTAATGAATTGTGTTGGGATAAATGCGTTGATAAACCAGGAAATAAATTGGACAGTCGGACAGAAACATGTTTAAATAATTGTGTGGACAGATTTATTGATGTTTCATTACTCATTACTTCCCGGTTTGCTCAGTTGTTACAAAAATCTGGTGGAATATAGAATGCATTTTATTTCGTGTATATCTATACATTTATATACATTTTAATAATGAAGTTATTTAATGTATATTAAATTGTAATTTAGGTATATGATAAATATTTTTGAATGACCTAAACTATCTATAATTTTCGTTCTTAGGAATCAGTTCTTACCGGTAATTAATAATATTGTTATCAAATAAAAACAATGAATTGATAAAAGTAAAATAAAATATATATCAAATTTATTAACGTTGAATGAACAGTGTAATATTATCCTATTAACTTACGTAATTATTTTACACAATATGACACGAATTAGCATTTAGCATAAAAATGTAATATTTTTGTCAAGTTGAAAGAATAGAATTTAAATATGATATAAAATTTTGTTTTATATTACAATGTTTAAATTACAATAAATATAGATTATACATACAGTGAACATATTTTTGAAATAATTCAAATAAATGTATTTTGTTATATATATATATATATCTTATTTAATATATATTAGATTATTTTCAAATTATATACATATAGGTCTTTGTGGAAGGCACATGTTATAGAACGAATCTCTTCTCCAAAAATCTTTACTTTTCCATCCACACCATCCTTTGTTTATTATAGTGCTTAACTTGTCAGGACCAGTATAATGTGGATCTAAAATTAAAAATTTAACTTCTCCGGTAGATTCATTATAATTAATTCCTAAAATTGTGTGAGCTAATACTCCACCGCCTATGAGAAAATAACAAAACAAAACACATAAAAATGTAGATTTGAATTAAATTCAAATAATTCAATTGATCACTTGTTACCAATCTTACCAATCATAATTGGTGTTCCTTGTGTATCGAAATGATTCGCAATAGCTGAAGCAAAAGTTGATATTTCTTCTCCATTTGTAGCACATAATACACTGATATTAACTCCAAGAAGAGTTTCTAGAACAAAACCTACTTCGGTTGAGCCAATCCATTCTTTACTACCTATAAAGTTAGATGATTTATCACCTATATCAACTAGACACTTTTGTATTTCTTTGTGAGACGGAATTGGAATATTGGTATATCCTTGTAATCTATAACGTTTATATGTTAATAACTTGCATCATAATATCATAAGTTTTATAGAAAATTATTTAATATCTTACCTATACCAAGATACAATAGTTTGAAGTGATCTATAAGCACATCCCCATCCATTATCATCAAAATCATTTTGCATATAATGATGATACGAATATAATCCATATACAATACTTGTTTTGCCATCTTAATGAAAAAGATTAATATTTAATATAATATTCTATTTTTTTTTTATAGAATAAACATTTTGATTATAAAGACAAAGTTAAAGACACATACCTTTAATGCTTGGAATAGACTCGTGAGGATTTATAATCAAATGATTGTTTTGTAAATCGTTAGAAAACTGTACACTGTTTGTACGTCGGAAGTAAGGTCTTGTTAAATCTAATGCCAATGTTGTGTGCAATTGTTTTATGCATGGAACTATAAAAAAGATTTGTGTTATATTTTTATATATATATAAGGTGTTCTGTAATTCATAGTATAAGCGAGTAGATATTTGTTAATGTTTTAAACTTATTTTTCTTTAAAACAAAGCTTTATATGAAAACATTGTATTTTACATTTTTAGAATCATAAAATCATCCTTTGCTCGCTTGTACCATTAATTACAGGATAGTCTGTATTTTTTTTTTTTTTAAATAAATTATCTTACTCATTTTATCGTCATCCCATCCATTTATATAAGGCACTGTTAATACATGTCCAAGTTTTTGTGGTTTAAAATAAAACCACTCCAGTGGGATTTTACAATTTTCGCAGATAGAAGGTTTTGATTTCCATAATTCTATTATAACATTTACATATTGACATATAGATTTGATTAACGCTTTATGTAATTCTATAGAAATTGGACGACGATCGATTAAAATTAATCTGTCAATATTAAATGTATATTCTATACTATCAAATGCACCTGTAATATATCCAAAAAAATATGAAACTTATTGTAAATTGATTATAAAATATTATCAATATTATAGTTTTTTAAGAACGAAATGTTACTTACGTTTTGTTTGATGTAATACTGGAGCATGCTCGCATACATTATAAGATTCTTGTTTAGATATTTGTATTAAAGCATTTGCATTTATTGCGTTCTAGCAATGAAAAAAAAGTATTATTTAATAAAAAATTAAATAGATTTAAAATATAATAAGATTTTTAATATATTTTGTACTAACTATGCTATGTATGGATCCATCATTCGTCTTCGAAACGTTAAGAAGTTCTTTGAGTTTTGCATTTTCTACATTATCATCTTTATCATTATTAAAAAGGTAGATTTTCTTGGATGGAAAGTAAAATGCTACTTTTCCAGATGATATCTTATTTCAATAATAGTATCATTATTTTGAAATAATAATTATCAATAATTTATAACAATATATATATATATATAGATTTGATAATAATTAATATATTTAGGTAAGACTTACATGTTCATTAATCTTTTTCAACGTATCCAACATTTGATTACTTTCACTGATTACTGGTATACCCAATTGTATTCTGATGTATGCGAATTGTTCTTCCAATTGATTTTCATTAATTATCTCGATATTAAGTAATTTATCTAATCCTTCATTGTTATTAAAAAACCATTCTATTTTCTTAATATCAGGCGAATACTTTAGAATAATCTTGTTCTTCAAATATAAATTATGATTATTTCAAAACAATACTTGTAGTAAACAATTACAAAGGTAGGTTGAAAAATGTTGAGCTTCAACAAAGAATTAAAACTTTTCTTTTGAAACAAAAATTTGTTTGACCAAATATTTGATTTACAACTTTTCAACCTACCCATTTTATTTCTTTTTCATTTATTATAAAATGACGTTATACTTACGTTTACAGGATCAGGAACGTTTTCTTCGATTTCTCCAGTATACAATAATCCACAAGGATTTACATTAGTAGGTAAAAAACTTTCAAATGATAGAATATTAAAAACGTCATCACTATCATTATCAATACTAAATGTTATAATTGTTAATGTATCATTATGTGTTATTCCATATAACCGACCAGTAGTTTGAGTAGTTAAAGTATTTAATCTCTAAAAGAAATAATATATTATAAATTAATCATTCTTAAATATGTTTTATACAATAAATTTGTTAATTTAAGATTTTCAATATTATTTTTTGATCATAGAAAATTATATGTATATTATTTATATGTTTTTTTTTTTTTTACTATCAAATTGGAGCGGAGTAAATCTGTAACTATCCGAAGGAAGCATGCTCTCTGTGTTCGTATTTTTTTTTTTTTTTTTTTATATTACCTCTACGATCTTAGATAAAACCTGAATTTTCGGCTGCATTTTTATCAAATCAAATCACAATAATTATATTATCAAAAATTGTGCAATAATTTTCAAATCATACTGCCGTATGGAATATTCATTAGGTTAAACGTGGTAACTTTTGGTTTGTGCATTCGTGAATTTAGATAAATTTTTTATATGACGTTAATCAAACAACTGTTTGTAATGATTTAAACGAGAACTTAAAAAAATCCTTAAAGGATATTTAACCAATTGGGTATTTAAACAACGGAATATCAATTTTTTTTGTGCTCACTAACATAAGTATAGTGTTTTAAAATATGGATCCTTTAATACTACGAGAAACTTCATACAGTGCCATCTAGAAGTTTGTGAAGTAAATAAGTTTATTGTAATTATCGTGTGTCGGTAACAATTAAAAATTTTTAACTGATTTAAAATTATATTCATTTGTACAATCATTTTTTTTGCGATATACTCACACAAGCACATGATAAGAATAAACAGAATACGGTAAATAATAATTTATAAAACTTAATTCGTTTATTAACTTATGAACTCTAATCTAAGCAATAAGAAGAAACATGTGTGCATATCACACAAGTTAGAAGTGAAACCTTCAAAAAAACAAATTTCGAGGATAATTTATTATATACTATTATTATAATATTATTTATACTTTTAATTTGTAATTATTTATTTAATTATTAATTTAAAATATAAAAATTCGCTCCTGTTTGTATGCAACCTTTCAAACACACTTTGAAAATGTTGCTTGCGAGCGCCATCTACTGGGACGGAATTTTTTTGCAGTCAAAACTGTTTATACAGGTATGTATGACGGGTTGCCTATATTTCGGGCAGAAAAAATTCCGTCCCGACAGATGGCGCTCGCAAGCAACATTTTCGAAGTGTGTCTGGAGGGTTGTATTCATACAGGCGCGCATTTTTATAAAAATTACAAAGAATGTAAATAATGAAACATTTTAAATAAATGTTTGCAAATTAAATATTTTTATAAATAATGATGATTTATAAATAATGATATGTTTGTCTCTTTTTCTCTTCTTACGTAGTATTAAGGCCGTTTCTTTCCCCCACTACATTCTGGATTTGTTTTTCCACTACATCACCGCATTTCATTTTTTCAAATCACACCCATTCTAAAGAAGTTTTCACTTGAAAAAAGAAAAAAATCCAAGTAGTTTATATTTGTTTAATTTAAAACTCGTGTATCGATTATTAAGTTATGTGATTTATATAAATGCACGTTTTAAATGAAAATATTTATATTACCAAACTAAACCTGATGAAGATATTTATGTGTAGACACATATAACTGAAAAGATATCTAAGGAATATTCGTATATTATATTTGTAGCATTATGAAGTTTAAAAGTTTCATGCTCAGGGCATCAAGTACTGGAAAACATCAGAGATTACTTAAATAAGTCATATTATTTTTCTATATCTTTGCGAAATGTTATTACATTGCCTTAGGTATTGCAAACTAAGCGTGAAATTCGATTAAATTTAGAGTTATCGTGATATCATAAGGTACACAAGATATTTCTCAACTCGGCGGTCAATTGTGAATTCGATCGGCCCCGTGGCTCTCGGCTATAATTTTTGTTCACTGGCAATATAACATCAGCACGAAGGATAAGCTTGCCTGTGATAAAATTCACGATATATAGTATGTATATATATATATATAGTATATATATAGTAGTAGCCAGAGTTTTAATCAAATTTGCACGAATACAATGGGCAACAGAGAGATATAAATAAAATTTTGGCAATAATATCGACGAGATAACATCGCTTTACAATTGTACGAT